TGCCCTCAGCTCCCACCTGCTCTTTCTCAAATATTTCACTAGTTTGCAGCTCATCAGGGAGTGAAAGTTAGCTAAAGTTCTCTCTTGGCAGAGTCAGGAAGAGTATTGGGGTTGTCACCTGGAAGGAGACACCCCACGGTTTCAGTACCCCCTTCCCTGGGAGAGGGAGCAGGCGGGGAAGGGTCCAAGTAACAGTACTGACAGAGCGCCTCAGCAATGGAGTGACAGAGGAAACACCGTGGGAGGGTTTGTCTCAGAAGCATGATGCAGACTGTAAGGTCCTGGGTGTCATTACAGCCTCACCTCCCACCAATCAATGAAGCTTCCTAACCCACGAATCTTAGTGTCACACTGACAAGTTTTCCAGGAGCCTTTTCTCTTTTGTCACTGTGGAAAAATACCAATTCCAAGATTACCATCTTAGATATTTTAAGGGTTCTAGGCTGTGCCGCACTCAAAGTTGGCCACCTACCTGGGATGGAGAAGGGATCACTAAGTCAGTGTCAGTTGGAGGGATCACTCAGGATGGGATATGTGTGCTGAAAGTAGACTAGGGACCGAACATGATGGCCTCTCAGTATCTGTGTTACAAACCATAATGCCCAAAAGCAGAGAGTATGGGGGAAATTGTCTGCCATGGAGGCAGGGGGAGGGGTGGGGATACTGGGGAAATTGGTGGTGGAGAATGTGCACTGGTGGAGGGATGGATGTTTGATTATTGTATGATTGGAACTCAAACATGAAAGCTTTGTAACTGTAACTCATGGTGATTCAATAAAAAAAATAAATAAATAAAATTTTTTAATAAACTGGTCATCTTGGGGCTCTTTGGCTCATGAGCTGAAGTTGCAGACCCATCAATCAGTCCCCACTCCCCGCCTGCCCCCCACCCCCAACGGCCCCCAGCACTTTCCTACTTCCTGCCCCTGAGCCCACCTAGGGAGGAAGCTCACATGAGTGGACTCAGGCAGTCCTGATCTCCCGGCTGGTTTCTCTTGCTCAGCACCTTGCTGCTGTGTCTCAGAGACAGGACAAGCCATGCAGGGCCACTCCTTCCTTCCCAAGGACGGGCGCAGCCCTTTGGGTTTAGAGACCATGTTTTGTTTGTCCATTTATCACTAAAGGGAAACTTGGGCTAACATCACATCCCAGCGAGTGTGGACAATGTCGCTCAGACACAGGTATACAAATAGCCTTGATGGGAAATTGCTCTCAGGCCTGTGGCTCGAAGCAGAGCTGGTGGCTCCTACAGTGACTTCATCCTTATCATGTCAGGGACCCTCCCGGCTATTACAGCAGCTTCATGGTTTCACACTGCCCCAATGGGGCACCAGGACCTTCACTTCACCTCAGCTGGTTGATGCACTAAGTTAATCTGGGGAGTTGCTACCCTAAGGGGCATGAGGTACTGGGGTTTAACTGATGTGTTAACTGAGGACCACAACTCTATGGAGCTCATGATGGGCTCATCAGCCCCATGAGAGCAGCTTCTCCAGAAGACAGCAGTGTGCCCGAGACACAGTGTGAAGGTCTCTCCCCTGATGGAGCCATGACAGACACAGTCATGAGGCTCTCTCCCCTGATGGAGCTGTGACAGACGCGGCCATGAGGGTCTCTTCCCTGACAGAGCAGTGACAGACATGGCCATGAGGGTCTCCTTAGCATGATGGTGCCACACTCAGTGTCCCTTCCACGGCTCTAGACTCCCTCATAGGACAAACACCTGTAGCCTCTGAAAGCAGAGGCCCGCCAGCAGGACAGCAGGGCTGGCCATGCAGGACAGTGGGCAGTGACACAGGGTGCTCTCAGAAAGGGGCCTGCCTCAGGGGGACTAGTTTTCTGGCACAAAGATCCCCCAGTGTTTCCTGAGGCAAAAGCAGAGGAGTTATTCCTCTCAGTGGGAGAAGACAGTTGCCAAAATGAGGGAAATTGGTTAAAACAGATTTTTTTTTTGTTCTCCTCAGCTACATCCATTTCCTGGGACTGAAGCAAGAAAAAGCACCTTGAGAACCAACAGCAGCCTCCTGGGTGCCCAGTGAGGGCCACCACTGAGCCCGGGGTCAGTCAGGCTGGAGCTCGGACCCACCGGCAGGCTGAGCAGGCTACAAACTACCCGGTCCCTTCACCGTCACTGTTCCACAGACAGACCTGGAGTCAGGGTGCCAGGTTCAGGGTCCTAGAAACTGTGGGGACAGTGAGAGAGTTCTGAGTGAGCCAAGTGCCCCAAAGTCACTCTAGACCAGCTCCCGGAGTGGCTGTGCAAGTTTCTGGCACATGGGTCAGTGTGGCCTGGTGTGGCCTTCTGTGGTGAATCAGGGCTGTGCGTGGGAGCGTGGACAAGCAGTGGTCTGGCCCAGAGCCTACGGGCAACATAGGCATGTGGCCAGTTGCGCCTTTCTTACTATTCGTGACCCACAGGAATGAGGAGGTGCTGCCCCAGACGTGGGGACTCGCGTGCTCGGAGAGTACTGTCACCTGGTCCGGCTCCCACAGGCGCCGTGAACCGTCCTCACCCACACTGGGTGCTGGGCAGGCACCGGGTGGAGACATGACCGGGAGCTGCTTCCCTGACGCGACTCCGGGCCCCAGCATGACCCCAGCCTTCAGGGCCAAGAGGCTGCATGAGAATGGGGTGGGAGGGGGCAGGGCTGGAAGTTTAAGCCCCAGTCACCCGACTTTCCCTAGAATCTTGCTTCTGGAACATGCTAAACAGGGAGGGTTTGAAAGTCATGTGGGCAGCCCTTTAGGAAGAGAACGTGACTCAAGAGGCCCTGAGGATGACATAGGGTGACAAGGGTGACAGCTCCTTCTCACAGAGGGGCTACCCCTAGATCCAAGAGGAAGAGCCGGCAGATCTCAGCAGTGAGGAGAAAGGACTCAACATGCAACCCTCTCTCCTAGGGGCAATGGGGTCCTCCCTAAGACCCGTTCCACCACCTTCCACCACCTTCCACCACCCCTGGGTGCCGCTACAGCCGTGCCTGTCACCTTTCCTCACCACCAGCGCAGACACACTTGCCAATTCTTCCAGCTGGGCTCAGAGCTTCCCACTCCAGAGTAAGAAGGTGAGGGACACCTGATCCCCTAGCTGTGATTCTAGCCTGAAAATCCTCAAGTTTCATCAGCTGCTACCTCACAGCATCGAATCTGGGTGTTTTTTTTTTTATTCTTGTTTTTAATAGTGTATTTTCTGACCTTATTCCAACAGGAAATACTATCAAGAACCTCTCTGAAGTCTTTTACTTACTTCCTTTACAATCACCTTCAGATTTTCTGTGGGGGGGGGGGGGTGGGGTGCTGAGGTGCCAGTGATAGGAGAAATCTAAACAGGCCACAGCCTAACCTTAGGGGATTGAAGGGCAGTCAGATCAGATAGCCTGATTTACGCAAACACTCTTAAACTGGTGCATTGTTTCCCTTCTCTGTCAGCTGATGCTGCCTGAAAGACTTGGAGGCCACAAAATACTATTATTGTGTCTTCAAATAGTATGATAAGATTGTATTGTCTTACAGGCTTAACCTTGGTTTCTTAAGAAGCCAGAGGATTATCATTATCTTATCATTAGCCGAACAAATGATAAAATCTTGGAGTAAGTTTCTAAGATGCCCATCTGAGGAGGCTGGGAGAGGAACAAGGGCAGCAGCCTGAGTGGCAATCTGCAGGTGGGACGGCGGGGGCGGGGGAACCTCCCAGAACAAGAAGAGCCGGGTCAGAAACAACAGCACCCAGCTAAAGCCCACGGCAGGGCTGGGGGGTGAACCAGTCACTGCTGGAGGCTCACCCAAAGCGTAGCTGCCCAGCGGCATCCTGAAACGTCCCAGCTGATGCTATGGGCCTGCAGCTCCCCTCCAGCGTTTCGAGGTGCTGAGAGGTGGAGAGTTGGCTGGAGCCATGAGCCACACCACCTTCGTGTGAGGCCTTTTCTGGTCCTTTCCTGCGGGATTGGAGAGCAGGTGGGTACCACCCCCCACTCTCTACTTTTGTGGGGGTATCCTGCAGAGAGCCATTCTCTCTGGCCAGCTGTGCGTGACCCTCAGCCACGGTCAATCCTTCTCTGTCAGCTCAGATGCTCAGGAGATCAGAGCGGTAGACAAATTAGGGTGGCGTGTCCCTCCCCGATGTGCGAGGTCCCAGTTTGGGAAAGACAGGGCATATTTCCGAGCAGCAGAGAGTGTGCTCCACAGGGACAAACTGAGAACTCCCCACCCGCGGTTGCGTGCAGTTCTCAGACTCACAGCTGCAGCAGTTGCTAAGTGAAAGAGCATGTGATTTGCATAGTATAAGGCCCTGGGTTTGTGCTCTGCCCCCCAAAAGACAAAACAAACAAGCAAACAAAAATGCCAAACCCAAACCCTGCACACAACAAACCCCACCATACAAAAAATAAAAACAGGCTGCAAGTTTTTGTCTGTTTCCAAGTGTCAGAAGGGCAGAATAACTTCAGCCCATCTGCCCACAGGACTCTGCCAAGGGGAGAACGGGCAATGCTGCGAGCCCACTGCATGGGCTCCACAAACCTTGTCACCTCAACATGAGCCAGCTCATCTGGATCCTGATCAGGAAGGGTTCTGTGGTCAGTCACCAGGCCCTTCTGAGGTCACATACTCGCCTCCCCCTGACTCTCAGCGGCCTTGCCCATCCATCATCCATCAGGTTCTCATGGCCCTAAAGCAAGCCCAGGAGCCATGCATCTTGGCCACACCCTCCACCTGTGGCTGGTGCCCTGAGGACAGAAAACAAACACAGGTTTCCCTTCTTTTCAATGGGCTGCTGGCCTGGTCATCTGCCTGTACAGGAAAAACAAGCTGCAGGGTCGAGATTGTATCACAGTGATAACCATTGGGGATGTTCTCCTCACCCCAAGTTCCTGCTCCAAGAGTGGAAACACAGCCAGTGAGCTGAGTGATGGGATGAGTGACGTGGCCCCCAGGGGCCAACGGCCAGGCCAGAGTGGCCCCCAGGCCACAGGAGCACGAGCCAGGGAACTGTCTGCACCTACCTTTATGGTCGTGCTGGGACCCACTTCCTGCAGCAGAGATATCTCTGGGGGGCTCCTGGGCAGCCCGTCGTCCTCGGAGCTCATGCCCGTGTCGTCTCCTCGCTTGACTGGAAGGCCCCCTGGAGGCGGTGGCCCCATTTTCACGTTACACTGTATTTTTAACTGGAGGGAAATACAGAATAGTGGCAGTTGTTTTCGTTGGCAAACTTTATCAACAAATCCTCCTGCTGCACTAGATTCATTCCAGGGATGCTTTCACTGTCCTCGGCCCTGTGCGGGGGACGGGATTGACAGCACCAGCCACTCCCTTGCTGGTCCCCCGCCCTGTGTGTCTCCCACCAGGCGAGCTTCAGGAAGTGCAGGCAACTCTACTCCCCACACACAGCCGAGGAAACACGGAACACACCCAGAGCTCCCCTCGAAGCTGGCAGGCCTGCAAGCCCGGGGCACATTGCTTACCTGCAGAGCTTTAATCCGGTCGCACACATTTTCTTGGGAAAACACCCTCACAGGCCGCGCAGGATCCTGTCCCGACTCAGGAATGAAAATGCTGTCGTGGGAGAGGGCCCGGCTGCCCAGGGCACCCCTGGAGTCCCTGGGAGAAAGGAGGGGCTGTGAGATCTGGACTCAAACATGCAGGGAAAGGTGCATGCAATGCTCCTTGGTGGTGGCTTTAGTGGGGCCCCCATGAGGCCTTCGCAGGGCCTTAAAGGCCTTTGCAGAATCTTAGTGGGGCCTTGTAGGCCTTAGCAGGGCCTAAACGGGGCCTCACTGGGGCCTTGTAGGACCTTAGTGGGTTCTAATGGGGCCTCAGTGGGGCCTTACAGGACTTTGTAGGACCTTCGTGGAGTCTTGTAGGACCTTAGCAGGGCCTCAGTGGGGCCTTGTAGGACCTTAGTGGGGTCTCAGTAGGGCCTTGTAGGACCTAAGTGGGCCTCAGTGGGGCCTTGTGGGACCTTAGCAGGGCCTCTGTGGGGCTTTGTGGGACCTTACTGGGGCCTTAGCAGGACCTCAGTGTGGTCTTGCAGGGCCTTAGCAGGGTTGCTCCACTGGACCTGGCAGAGCTCTGCTTGCTGTGGGCTGGCATGCAAAGCCCTGTGGTACAACGCAGGGCCAGGGAGCAAATTCACCGTCTCACTCATGCTAGGCACGTGCTCTACCCCCTGAGCCATCTCCCCAGTCCCTGTATGTATTGTTTTTTTAACTGACTTTTTACTTGGGGCCACACTGGTGGTGCTCAGGGCTTACCCCTGGCTCTGAGCTCAGGGGTCACTCTTACAGTCCGGGGGGATAGGGAGGAACCATATGGGATGTCGGGGATTGATGTTGGGTCAGTCGTGTGCAAGGCAAATGTCCTGCATGCTGCACTATGACTCCAGCCCCTGCCTGTATCTCTCACTGCCCAGCTTCCACTGTCCTGTGGAACTGGCAGTCCAGCTTTGAGAGCACTGTGGAGTTGGGAGGTCTCCTCACAGGTACCTAAGGCTGTGGGAATTACTTTTATTGCCTGCAGGAGGAAGGAGGTGCTACTGGGCGGGCCTGGAGCCAGGAGAGTGGAGGCTTTCCTGAGGGGCTTGAGGGCGGCTTGCATTGGCCACGGACCAGCCCCTCAGAGACATCCCCATGGACCATCCAAAACACACATCCACTGGACCTGAAACCGGATCCACAAAGAGGCAGACTGGGGGTCTGGGGTCGCAGCTCTATCTCCAGCCCCAGGATCAAGCCTCTATGCAGATGCTTGAGGCATTCATGAAATGCCCTCAGTGAGAAGTCGGGTTGGAAGTCGGATGCTCATAGGACAATAGGTGGAAGGAGGTGATCGAGTCCTGGTGACGGAGGAAAGAAAACCTGCTCTGGCAGAAACAACCTGTCTCCAGCACAGCCTGGCCCTCTGACGGACAGCCCTGTTCACTGCACATCCAGAGTGCTGGGCAGAGACTTGATTTTGATTCAGCTTCTTCTAGTCTGCAGAGTGAGCTGGCACACAGGGAGCCTTCAGAGCCAGGAAAGTGTGGGAGAGGGCAGCAAGGGAAGGGGCAGGCAGGGCGTGGCACATGGCAGTGCACTCCAGGGTCTGCCTCCTGCCGTGGGCCTCCATGACCCCACGCGGGGAACATCACCACTGTTCGCACGCCTCTGCTCTGCCTCACGGGGGAAGGAGTCAACTTGAGAAGACTGATGCAGAGACACGTGGGCAACATGCACTAACACGAGGCTAAGCACAGGGCACGTTCGTGGAAGACAGACAGAAAGCGTTGCGTGTCCCTCAGAAAGTGCCTGGGCATACTCAGTGGGGACAGGACATCATGTAGTAAGGACTCTGGATCCGGGCAGCGGCGAAGGACACAGGGAACAAGCAGTGGGCTGTCAGCTCCCTGTGGCAAAGGGGCCCACGGACAAATCTGAGAACATATGAATAGATATGTGTGTGTGTGTGTGTGTGTGTGTGTGTGTGTGTGTGTGTGTTTGGGTCTGTTCTTAAAAATAAAAACCAGTAAAAACAATCTCCCCTCAGAAGGCCAGAACGAGATGAAGAGACAGACCAAAGGACTCACATTCCGTCTCTCAAACTATACAAATGTTTTTATAATTTAAAGACAAATCAAACAAAAAGAACTAGAACTAGAAAACAAGGATTTGTATCAGGCTATTTATGTAACCAGACAGAAATAACTATATTGCTGTTATTAATATTATCATTATTATTATTTTGGTTTGGGGACTCTGTGCTCAGAGCTTACTCTTAACTCAGTGCTCAGGGATCCTTCCCGGTAGTGCTCAGGAGACCATATGTGGTGCTGGGGATCAAACCCAGTTTGCCCTACCCACGTACTATGATTCCAACCCTCACAATAAGATAATTTGTAAGAACCCAAAAAATGGGCCAAAGATATAAAACTGTATCCACTAATAGTATTAGTCAAAATCTAACATAATGTCATTATTGAACTACATTTGGTTAATATTATTAGTAAGTATATTGACTCAGAGGACAATGCAGTGGCTGAGGTAGTGCTCAGTGGCTGGGCTTGAGTTAGCTCTCCAGCACCACACATGAAAAAGCAGATCAACAAAATTTTTAAAACAGTGAAAACAGAATCATAGCACAGAATTTTATTTTATTTTATTTTATTTTGGGGTCACACCCAGCGATGCACAGGGGTTATTCCTGGCTCTGCACTCAGGAATTACTCCTGGCAGTGCTGGGGGACCATATGAGATGCTAGGAATTGAACCCAGGTTGGCCGCATGCAAGGCAAATGCCTGACCCGCTGTGCTATCGCTCCAGCCCGAGCACAGAAATTTTTACAATGCATAATTCCAGTGTGATAAAGGGAGTAATGACATTATTATAAATATACTTCAAGATGAAAATAATAAAAATTTTGTTTATTTTATAAGAACCAAGACTTCCAGGAAAAAGAAAATTGCATTTAAATTGAACTTAAACAAAAATTTAAAGAAATATTTTTCTCATTAGTTTGAACGAAGAATCATGAAATTAATTATCTAATCATATTCTCCTCCCATTTAAAGATGACAAGTGTGAAATGTGGCTCAAGGTAAAGAGCACGCCTTGCAAGCATGAGATCGGAGTGTAATTCCCAGAACTGCAAAAAAAGTTAGCTTAAAGTTAAGAGATAGGGTGGGCCCAAAGAGAACTTGTGCGTGACTTCTGTGAACACAGCTGCTCTGCTCTGAGACCAACCTTAAATACCAATGAGCACTGCGGGGCAGGGGCAGGGGCAGAAGCCAGACTGGAGTCAGAGAGAGTCCCCTGTCAAGAATGAAACCCCTCCATGAAGCAACAAGCTGCAAATGAAATTCCTAGTCTGTAGAACTTTCTGCAGAGAGGCAAGAAAGTGGGTAATAGACACCTGCTGAAATCTTAAACTTACAACACTGAAGTGGAAGCAAGATAGTTTATACCCAGAGGGGTGAGACCATTGTTGTCAGGTGCCACTTTGGTGGTGTCTTGTGATCTTGCTAGTGGATGTCACACTGGGTCTCACTCTCCATAGAAAGTTATTCTGAGGACAAATACTCAAGGAGGCACCACCGACCTCTAGGACAGTGGGTGGAGCTGAGAGACAGTTACCAATAGCTCTTTCTGCTGACAGACTGAAACCTTGACCCAAATAGTCCACATCTGACTGGTGGTAAGAAAGCCACACCCTACAAAAGAAATGGCAACCTTGTGATCTTAAAGCCCTGGTCACTGCCAGCGTTGGCTAGAATATAAACCTTTGCTGTCCATCTGCATCCATATGTAGTGGAAATAATGGGAGATGGAGGGAAGTTATCTGAAGAAGACTTCAAAGTAACACTCTCAATGATGACATGAACAAATGAAAGAAAATTTCACAGACAGGAGATGCAAGAAAAGTGTGAGAAAAGAATGAGAGAACATAGGAGCAGAACTAATAGGTAATAGAGGGAATCATTAGGAGAATGGAAGAAGATGAAAACTGAATCAGTGCGCTCGAAGGTAACTTAGTGGAAACCATCCACAAAGACAATAAAAAAAAGAACTAAAAACAATGAAGGTAAAATATGAGATACATGGGACAGGATCAAGATGAACAATATTCACATCATAAAGGCTCAAGAAGGAGAAGAAAGGGAGAAAGGCACAATTCCATTTGAAAAAATAATAGCTGAAAACTTCTCCAGGCTGAGAAAGGACTTAGATACCCAGATCCATGAAACAAAATAAACCCAAACAGATGCACTCCAAGACACATTATAATAAAACTGGCAAAAAATAAAAATAATTTTAAAAATAGCAAAAGCAAAGTACTGAATCACAAACAAGAGAACCTTTATAAGTTTCGCCATAAGAAATCAGCAGACTTTCCCATTGAATCTACAGGTCAGAAAGATATAAGCAAAATGCTAATAAAAAAAACTTCAACCAAGAATATTCTACCCATCCAGCTTATTATTTGGACCTGAGGTGGAAATAAAGACCTTTGACCAAAATTTTTTAAATTAATAATTCATCATCAGCTAGCAGCCTGCCAAGAAATACTTAAGGGAATTCTATAAAAGGAAAAGAAACCTTACTTGGAAGTAGTAAGGTCCCCAGAAACAAAATATTGGAGCTAGAAGGAGAACAACATAGGACTTTTATTTTCAAATTTATTATTTCCTTGTTTTCAGGTATGAACAATACTACTAACAACATTACTAAAACTTGTATGAAACCACAAGACACCCCACTTCCCCAAAGAGTCAAAGTAATCCTGAGGGAAAAAAGATTAAAAACCATTGTTCCCTGACTTTAAAAAAATTTTTTTAATTGAATCACCATGAGACACACAGTTACAGAGCTGTCCATAATTGTGTTTTAATTGTACAATATTCTAACACCCATCTGTCCACCAGTGTACATTTCCTACCTCCAATGTCCCCAGTTTGCCTCCTACCAACTTCCCCCAAGCCTGTCTCTATGGCAGGCATTTGTTCCTCGACTTTAAACTATGGCACACAGAAAAAATGGACTAAAAACTAGATTCTAGAAATAACCCCCTGAACATATGGACAGTCAATTTATGACAAAGGAGCCAATGATAAAACATGGAGAGAGAA